ATATGTAATGAAAAGGATAAAATTAAGAAAAAACATAAAAATTGTTTACTGAAAACTTTGTTTTTATTATGTCTTAACAAAGATGTCTTTTTTTTTTAGAAAAAAATGCAATATATTATAGTTTATGCTTAACAAGAAAGAAGAATTGGTCGAAAAAAGAGAAAGTAAACAAAATTTTATACCAAAAATAATAAAAAAAAAGTCAAAATTAAAGGTTAATATTTAATTTGTAAATAATAATTTATTCATTTGATAAAAAAAAAAAATAATAATGAAAATAAATGGTACATATTGTGATAATCTCATATTTATTTCAAATTAGTAAATAATACTAATTTGTAAATGAAACTGTAAATTGATGAATTAAATAGAAATTAAATGTTAATTAAAAATTGTTAAGCATAATTAAATAAAAGTACATCATTACTACGATAGTATTCTTACTACAATATTAAATTTACCCAAACAAAATGGCTAAGGAATTTTGCTAAGGGTAAACTTTTGTTGACAAGATTAAAACATACCATCAAGAATAAATAAAATGCCGACAGAGTGGATTAATTTTACAGTATGCAACTATAGCGAAAACGATAAGTAAACAAATGTTGTTTACCCATCAGTGATAGAGTATCGAATATTTTAATGTGTATCGATAAATTAGGAGTGATTGAGGGAGAGAGAGAGAGGGAAAGAGGGGAAGAGAAAAGTGATGAAAGGAGAGGAAATGATTTAATTTTCAGTATTAAGAAAAGAAATGTTTGATAAGTTTAAAGTGATAAGTTTATTTTATCATTTATAACAAAAGTGAAATAATGAAATTAATATATTCGTTAACTATTATCTTTTACATATATAAGCAAAATGTTCATAACTTGCTTCTTCTTCTTTTGAATTTCAAATAAATAATTTGTTGATGAAATAATAATTATGCGACAAAAAAAATGTCACAAATGAAATAATTTTTATCTGATAGAAAAATAAAATTGTCATATTTTAAGTAGTTTATTAATAATTATAATTTTTTTTGCAAAAATTTTACTTTATAATTTCTAAGAAAAAAAAAATTGAAATATTATAATTGCGAATTTTTTTGTTATACGTACATACGCACTAGTATAATATAAATTGAATGCAAAATTTCTGCAATTCTTTTGTGAAAAAAAAAAGTTGAAATATAAAAAATGAATCATTGTTATAAGCAACAAAATTGTTTATAATTTTCAGAATGAATAGATTTTTCAAAAGCAGAAAAACAATAAATAATATGTTTTGCTATGTAATAAAATAATAAAAACAATAATAAAATAAATAGTATGTTTGAATGAAAAAAAAAGGAAATGATTCAGTAGCAAATATTTTGAAAATTCAGCGATAATTTTTTTTAGTTTCTGTTGAAAAAAAAACAAAACAAAATTAATATTTCTAAAATCAATACTTAATTAATAGTAACAGTAACAATAAGAATAATTATTATATTGTTTGTATAAGCTATGCTTTAAGCCAAATAATAATAATAAATAATAAAAAGAAAATAAAATAATTTTATATCTCTAAAATCAATATTTTTCATAATTGGTAATAATAATAATAGTGCCAATAGTGATTGAAATTTTAGTAAATTTTAAATTCATATTTTAAAAGCACGGAGAATTGATAATCGATGAAGAATAGGGAAGATTAAACAATAATAAGAAAATGCAATAGTTTGCGTACATTTCATTTAGATGAAGTGTTAACGATATTCCAAAGGTCATTAATTAATTAATTGATTAATGGAAGATGACGATAGATAGATGCTATAACTATAATTGTAGTAAAAAGAGAATTGCATTTAGAGAAATAATTTTTAAAATAAAAAATTAAATGAATTATTTAAATATATCGGTGAATTAAAGATGTATTTTATATTTCAAATATGGGCAAAATCCAAATACATATTTATGTCAAAAGAATTGATGAAAATTTGACATCAAATGAAATTATCGATTTTGACGATCGTTTGCTTCCGTTTGGTATTAAAAAATATAAACGAATACAATTTAACAATTTGTCGATGCAAAAAAAAAAAAAAAAAAAAAAATTTGTTGACGAAAATGTGAACTTTTATTTTCAAAAATACAAATTTGACAAAAAAGAAGTCAATTAGCAATAATTGATTTTCTTCTTTTTTTAGGAAAAATCTTTTTATACGAAAAAATAAAACAAAAAATATGTATGAATCCAATTTATCGTTTATAAAATAGAAAAAGAGAAGAAAAGATGAGATTTGCAGTTAAGAGTTTTATTATTTTTAAAATAATTCTAATTTTAAAATATCTGTATGAAGATATTTAATTCGTGTAGTCATATAATTTAAAAAAAAAAAATTTTTTTTTTTTTGCTTTAGAATTTTTATTTTTCTTTTGCAATCTCAATTAATTTTATTTCATTGAAATTGCATTAAAATGAGAAAAAAAAATATTCAAATTTGCTAAATTTGAAATGGAATATTGGAAATATTTTTTTCAAATTGAAAAATCAAATAACAAAAAAAAATATTAACATTAAAAAAAAAGCGGTGAAATAGAAATGAAAATGAAAGGAATGAAATTACTAAAATCTGTTTTACATTTTCCAAATTGGTTAAACTGAAAAACTGAGCGCTTTATGAAAACTGAATGTGAAAAATGAAAAGACGAAGAGAACATTAAAATTAAATTATAGGGTAACATTAAATTGACAAGTGATGAAAATCTTTCCATTTCCCATATTTTTGTGTAATTCGCACAAGGTAAAAATGTTTGAAAACTTGTAAATGTGTAATAAAACTTTGCGTAATTCATATTTTCGGCACAAAATTTGCAATTTAATAGAAATTTGAAATTCATACATTTGCTATATAATAGTAAAATTTAATTGCTTTCATTATTATTCAAATAATGGAATTAAAAAAAGAAAAAGTAAGTTTACATAGTAATAGAAACAATACTTACTACATTTTTTTGTGCTTAAATTAGTTTATACTATTAATTAGTACATTATCATTTATAAGATTACTCAATAAATAACTTAAATCAACAATAAAATAAAAGTAAACGGTAAATTTTAGCAAAAAAAAAGAACCGAAAAAGGCAAATAATTGTGGTTTCAAAAAATTTAATTGATTTCAAAAAAAAAAAAAGCGGAATTTTAAAACAATAAAATGATTTTGTTTAATTCTTTCCTTCTTTTTTTCTTATTTTTTAAATGTTAATTTAAAAAAAAAAAAAAAAAAAGACGAAAATTTAAGATAGAATTAGGATGAAATGGGTGCAAACAGGTTATGGAGTGAGTTAAGAATCATTTTAATTCAACCATTCGTACAAATAGGTAGATATCATTCAATTTTGATCTTTTATGTCCATCCAACCTTTTTAATGTTCATTTTAAACAAAATTTGATCTATCTTCTTTCATATCTCTCTCTCTCTCTCTCTCTCTCTGTCCCTTTCTCTCTCTCTTACATACTCGATATATTATTGTATTATTTATATATTTAATTTTTAATGAAAATGACGGATATAAGAAAAATGCAATCAGGGAGTAATACTATTTCATATGGGAAAAACTAAATTCCATATTAAGTATTACAATTTGAAATATTTTTGAAAGTTAAAATTAGATAAAAATAAAATGAAATTGCACCTTATCATCACAAATTGATAAAATCACATATTCTATAAGTAATTAACCTTTATCCTTTATCTTTATTCAACGACTATCTTTTATATTATTATTGCGATGGATTATTAAATATTGTTAATAATTTGGCGCAATTCTTACACAAAACTCAAATTTCGATTCAATTTATCCAATTTAAATGATTGTTCTAACTAATTATAAATTTTTTTGCATATTTTATTAATTACTAAATCATTTAAAATATTACTGAAATTCATTAGATGAAAAAAAAAAGCCAATTCAGTGTTTGCCGATTGTAGCAATAATTAATATTCTGTTATGAAGTGAGTTAAGAATCATTTTAATTTTTCCGGAATTTTCCGGAAAATACTATTGAAAATGAAGCAATACTAGTGATGTTAGTTAAAAATGAATTAATTGCACCTGCTACCACTTACTACCACTTGCTACCAATTGCTACCACCTGCTACTACTTACTACCACTTGCTACCATTTGCTAGCAACCGTAGAATTGATTTTTTTAAAAAGTGCATCATTGCTTCAATCGAAAACAATGTTAGGAATTACATTATGTGAAAAGAATTTAATTATTTTAATTACAGAAAAACATTTATTACTGAATTAAATTGAACTGAATTAAAAGATAATTTTAATCGCTTTTTTTTTTTCTTAAAACGATAAAAAAAAATCAAAGAGATAGAAAAAAAAACTTGCTAGAAGATAATTTTTATTCAATTAATTTTGTATTTAGAAAAATTTTACATTCAAAACTTTTATCCTACAAAATCTTGCACCAAAAAAAAAAAAGATTAATTTGTAACTGTTTTTTTCTCAAAAAACGTTTCTTTTTTTAAGTTCCTTTTTTCTAGTTTTTAAATTTTATGCAAGGGGTGGGAAATTATTAATCTCCATTTCGATTTTTTTTTTCATTTAAAATTTCAATTTCTTTTTTCACAATCAAAGTTTTATACCACTCTCCCTAACCCTTCCTCCGGAAAAAAAAGAAAAATGTTGCTTTTAGCTTTTTGCTTATAAAATTTCAATTTTCATTTTTTTGTAACTTTCGAATTGTGCACAAAAAAAAAAAAAGGAAATTGTTAATAAAATTTTTAATTCTGCTGAATATATACATATATGATAATTATCAGCAAATTTATTCATTCATTTATACTACTAGCAACATTCGGTATTCACATAGCAAATATTTCCATCAAAATTATTGATATGATAATTTAGCTACAGTTGAATGAAAATTAGAAGGTAAAAGCTGACAGAACTAAATTACAGAAAGCTAAAAGTATTTAGCAATTTAATGAATTTAATACAAAAATTAATTTATAATTAATAAATTTTCCATTGGCTTAATTCATCAGCATTATAATAAGATTCAATGTATTGTTTTTCAGATGCATTCATTGTTGTGCTAGTAGTATCTTTTTTATCATTACTTTCTGTCACTGAAATATATGAATTCGAAATTTTTCCTTTCTTTGTTGTTGTTTCATCTTTTGATTCCGTTTTATTGCTTACATTCGATTGAAGAAATTCTTCATTAATATTACCATATTCTCCAATCTGAAATACAAAAAGAAAATGCAAACTTATTTGCTTTCAATGATTTCTTTTTAAGCAGTCAAAAATGGCGTAAAATTATGAAAATTATTATTGAAGTAAGAAATTGTTGACGAAATCAAAATAACTTTATGTATGTCAAATATTTTTTTTCTATTAAATCACTAGATAATTTATAAACTAAAAATTGTTTTATTTTAATATTTATTAGACAAATATAAAACCATTCGGTTTTATAACTCAAATAATAAATTATACTATCAATTTTAGTAATAAATTAATTCAATCTAACAGTCAAATTTACATTGAAATGTTAAAAAGTCTTGTTTTTTTGTAAATTCTTTTTGTTTAATTTCTCATTTTTGTGGTGTGTTTCTATTTGCAATGTCAAAATAAGTAATTTTATATAAACTCATTTTCATAATAGATTAAAGATCATCCAAGTTATCGATCTGAGCTTTAATTAGACGCTTTATTTTAAGCAAATACCCTACATCCTAGGGAGATAAAATCATTGTTTGTGCTCAATTTTTGAATATGTCAAACCATCGGTTCGGTTTATCTTTAATTGATTAAACTAAATTTCAGCAATCGACGCTACAAGCAACAATAGCAGTAATGGGGCGAAAAAAAAAATGATAGTTACGCTTGCAAATACGACAATTACGCTTAGGGCGCAAATTGATGAACTGTTGCTATAGTTTAGTATTACTTCATTCATTTCCTTCCTATATTATTATTCTATAAGCATGGTGTTGTGAAAGATTAAAGTTATTGCTCATTGTGGAGTTACGATAACAACAACAGACAACAACAAACAACAACGACAAACAACAACAACAAACAGCAGCGACAAACAACAACAACAAACAGCAGCGACAAACAACAACAACAAACAGCAGCGACAAACAACAACAACAAACAGCAGCGACAAACAACAACAACAAACAGCAGCAACAAACAGCAGCGACAAACAGCAGCGACAAACAGCAGCGACAAACAGCAGCGACAAACAGCAGCGACAAACAGCAGCAACAAACAGCAGCAGCAAACAGCAGCGACAAACAGCAGCGACAAACAGCAGCAACAAACAGCAGCGACAAACAGCAGCGACAAACAGCAGCGACAAACAGCAGCAACAAACAGCAGCGACAAACAGCAGCGACAAACAGCAGCAACAAACAGCAGCGACAAACAGCAGCGACAAACAGCAGCAACAAACAGCAGCGACAAACAGCAGCGACAAACAGCAGCAACAAACAGCAGCGACAAACAGCAGCGACAAACAGCAGCAACAAACAGCAGCGACAAACAGCAGCAACAAACAGCAGCGACAAACAACAATAAACAACAGCAACAAACAACAACAACAAACAGCAGCAACAAACAGCAGCGACAAACAGCAGCGACAAACAGCAGCGACAAACAGCAGCGACAAACAGCAGCGACAAACAGCAGCAACAAACAGCAGCGACAAACAACAACAACAAACAGCAGCAACAAACAGCAGCGACAAACAGCAGCGACAAACAGCAGCAACAAACAGCAGCGACAAACAACAACAACAAACAGCAGCGACAAACAACAATAAACAACAGCAACAAACAACAACAACAAACAGCAGCAACAAACAGCAGCGACAAACAGCAGCGACAAACAGCAGCGACAAACAGCAGCGACAAACAGCAGCAACAAACAGCAGCGACAAACAGCAGCGACAAACAACAACAACAAACAACAACACCAGACAACAATAACAAACAACAACAACAAGAACACGTATTACTTTCTTCGATAGTAATATAAAATTAGCTAACGTTGAAAGCATATTCCGATTCAGTTGTTGTAATGTCGAAATTATACGATGTATATATTTCCGATGCATTACCAAACGTAGTGTATTCGTCCTGAGAAGAAAATGGCTGCGGATTTTGAATTTTTTTATTTGCTTCCGCTATTTTATGTTCCGTTTGTTCGTTATCCGTTTTTGCTCCTTCAATTACTGAAAATTCCACTATCATTTTTTATTCTATGAATAACTTTATTAAGGGTTGACAAATAGAAATAAAAAGATTATTGAAAAAAAGAAACAAAAACAAATAAAATATTATAATGTTAAAACAAACTTTGATAACATTCAATGAATTTAACAACAAAACAAAATAATATAATGATATAACTATGACAATTTGATTTTCTATATTGAAATTTTAATTTTATAAATCCCACAATAAATGAGGAATTTATTTTATAGATTTATTGATTTAAAATAAAAAAAGATTGCTTACCATATTTCTCAGTTATTGGCGAAGAAATATTATAATAATATTTTTGATTTTTAGCATTAATACAATTATACAAATTAGGTAAACCTATATAGGTACTCTCTGCCTAAATTAATTAAAGTTTTATGCAGCAAATTAGTAAGCGATTCATCAAAATGTATACAAATTTTACCAGTGACCACAATCAATACAATTGTAATTTTTAATATTTAAATTTTGATTTAACAGAGATCTATTGATAAATTAGAAATGTATTTAATTAGTCATTAATAAATTTGAAAAAAGACTAATTAAATGGAGATAGAAAGAGCCATACTTGCTGATATTGCATCGTTTTTGAGATATTATCTGCCACATTGTCCATCTGAAAGTTCATAATATTTAAATTGTTCCATTTAAAAAACAAACAAATCAGTTTATTTATACACCATACATAATTTTTATTCTTTATTTTTTTTCTTTTTTTTTTTCACTCATACTATTAGCAACGCTGATTAAAATGAAATTAAAAATGAAAAATATTCAAAATTTAGTACAAAATAAGATTTGAAATTTAGCAAGAAAATTGAAATTAGACAATAGTATGAGGAATAATAATATTAACGGAACTCTATGGAATTTAATTTTATCTCATTTCCTTATTCCAGTAACTAAATAAAAAAAGATTTATGATGTCGTTGATTTGAAACAAATAGTTAAATTTTTTTTTCAGTTTAAATTTAAGCGCTAATTGCTTGTTAATTTACTTTCATGTTAGCACTGTCAGAAAATTTAATTAAATAAATGTTAGGAATTTGAGGTAATATTAGTTACCAATACTAATATAGAAACAATGACAACAGCAATAATTCGTTTCAAAAATTTTCTCAAAATGTTAATAAAAATTTCTATTAATCAAATTAAGAAATGTTTGAAACTAATATACCTGCTGCTCGTACTTAAATTTATTCATTCCTTCACTAGCATTTTGCCAGTTACTATCAATAATATCAAGACTCTTGAAAAAATGACAGAAAAAAGATTATAATTTTAAAATATATGAATTGCAATTCAAAACAGAAATTTAAAATAAAAAGAACCCATAGAATTACTAAAATGTTTTTCTCTTTCTTTCGTTCGAAAAATTTTAAATGAACAAAAACAAAAAAAACAAACTTACATTATTGAGCGTTGGTGTGGCATACACTGATGCAATATGTTTTTTTATTATATTTTTATCGTTTCCTTCCATAATTTCAATAATTTTATCCTTTATTAAGCAAATCAATTAATTAATTAGTTAATTAAAGAAATAAAAGAAGAGTTAAGGATGATTAAAGGTTACTACCTTTAAACGTAAGGGTAAAAAATTGATAAAAAAGATAATAAAGGTTAAATTCGAGCAAAAATTTATTTAAAAAATTAAATTTTATATAATTTTCGATAAAAAAATTTTTCTAATTTCTGTTCCTTCTTTTACCTTATGTTATATTTCATTTTTATAACTTTATCAATTTTATTTCAATAAGATTGAATCATACTTTTTTTTTGTTTAATTATTTTAAACAAGACAGGTATATAGAGAATTATGATTAGATAGAATTTCGATTCTTTAATTTTCTCAAAGAAATAAATACTTTAATCGTTCTAAATTTCTGATTTATCGCATAACAATGATTAATTAACTAATAATTCCTGAATGCATCAGTTTCGAAGTTTTAAATTTTATTAGTGAAAATTTCATTTTTAACTTGCAATTTTCATAATTTAAAAAAAGGAGTTTTTTCCTTTAGAAAAAAAAAAAACTAATTAATAAGAATAAATTAGTGCTAATCAGACTATAACAACAGATTGAGACTTTTTCCGGTAGAATTGGTTTATGCCCAATTCCACTAATGCAATTTATTGCCGCAACCGGAACAAATATGTTAGAACCATCTGAGCTGTTCATTTTTGAATAATCATCCGATCTGGCAGTGGTTGTGTAACCCGTGACCGGACTTGTAACATTTTTTACCTAGAAATATTAATTTCCGGAAAAATATTTAACTATCAAAATTGTTAATGATAATGTAAAGTATATTTGAATTATATAAAATAGTAATTTTTAAATGCAAGTCATTAAAAGTAAAATTTGAATTTTCAAATATAAAAATAATGAATAAATCAATTTTGATTAATAAACATATCAAAATCAATCAGTTCATTTTAATTTTGTGCTACACCTCGTCCAACTGCTTAACTTTTCTGCCTGTCATTGTGTCATCGTTAAATTCTTCAGTCATTGCAAAGTAAATACTATTGCCATTTAGGCCTGGATTACGACCAAAGCCAAAATAACTACTCGACGCCATTACTAATTGAACCAACGAATGAAATTATTTCGAAAACTTATCCAATTTATACAATTTTTTCCTTCATCTCATCAAATTTTAATCTTTTTTTTCCATTTTCGTGCATTTTTTCAATATGCAAATTTTAACTGTTTGAAATTAATTACTTTTATTTATGCTAATTTCAACAAATTTTTTATTTAAATTACAATTTTTGAGATGTAACGATATTAATTATTTTTGCTGCATTTACAACCAATTTTTAAAATAATAATTTGAATAGTTTGAAATGTCGAAAGAAAATTTTATTTAAATCAATTAAATTTTTTTAGCAAATGTTATCACTTCCAATAAAAAATCTCGGATTTTTTTTCGTCTGCAGCAAGGTGGTACGAATTTATTTTAGAATCCATTGCTCATAGATTCGACATAATTCATTACTTACAGATTTGACAGAATTCATTAGTTCATTACTAAAAGACAAAGAAATAAATCTGAAATTGATGAAAACATTACTTATAGATTCACCAAAATTCATTACTTAGAAATTCATCAGAATCAATTACTCATAGATCTACCATTCGCAAATTTATCAAAATCCATCGATGGCAGGTCCATCAGATTCCTATTATTGACAGATTCCTTCCTAAGATATGTTATTTATAATTACATTAAAATTTATTAATCTAATATTTAGAGAATTAAGTTTGCCGTAATTTATTAAATTACAATATCAGTTTAATGAAATGTTCTATTTAATGAATGCAATCCTTATATTTCGTAATATTTTAAAATAACTTTAAAAATCATTGCAATTAGTAAATGAAAATCAGTCATTCATACAAAAAATGAGTGATCAGATTTGATAGGAATGATAAAATTTGATTTCTAGTGGTTTTCACTAGAATTTAGCCAAAATTATTTTTGAGTAAGTTATTTTTACTATTATATTTGTTTAATAATTAAGAAAAATTCGTGTCGAACAATCGAATCTCTGTTTCGCTTCATTTTTTCTTAATTTTTTAATTTTTTTTTCTTTGAATTTTTCGCTTCATTTTTTCTTAATTTTTTAATTTTTTTTTCTTTGAATTTTCTTCACGAAAACTTATTTAATCTTTTTAAGAAGTGCAACGTTGATTGATTGTAAACTTCACGTATTGTCAGTAATAAACGTCATTTACGTCACTAATTTTTCATCTTTGTTATCTGAACAATCAATAATCAATTATAGACAGTAGAAGAAAAATAGGAATAAACTTGAAAGTTAAAGATACTAAAAATACCTAATGAAAAGGTAAAATATCGAGAATTAACAGTAAACAAATCGAATGGTACTCAATTTGCTCTATGACACAATTTAAATTGTAAGTAAACAATAAATTCAATACATATCGATGCTATAAGTATTTACTCTTTGTAATCATATCTATAAGTAAACGATAAACAAATTAAACTTTTGTAAATTTTTTGTTTACAAAAATTTCACCTTTATAATGCAATAAAACAGCAGAAATTGGCAAATCTTTTATCCAAAATATTTATTAATTATTTGTTCCATTTTGTTATAACTTTTTATTATTTCATAAATTATTCTTTTATATATTAACTACAAAAATTACAGAAAATTAGTGCCAATTTTGTAAAAATTTCCAATTAATTTATTTATTTTCCATCATTTTTTTCATTTTTATTCTAACTCATCGATCCGTCGTCATATGTGTCAATCTGGAAGCTTCAATCATTAATTTTTCGAGAAAATTAATTAACTCTTGATTAATTAAGATTTTATTTCATACCACTAATATTTACAAATTAAAAAAGCCATAAATATGTGGAAAAAATGAACAAAAGGTGGAAAATATTAGGCAAATTTAATTTATTTTTGCTTTAATTAGCATTTATTGTAATTAATGATTTTATATTATTACAAATATTAGCAGAAATTGTGATAGTAATACTATTAGAAAGGAGAAAATCTGACTGAAGAATGGATAAATTGATGGAAATCACAAAATTTTCATCTGATCTTTTCTCACTTCAAATATTCCGCCTAATTTAACGTCATCGTCCACGCATGAGCCATTCAATCGAAGGTGTTTGACGAGGTTGTCGTTGACGAACAGAGGTAAAACGACGACGACGACGACGGGGACTGAATTGGCGGGGTATACGACGACGCCGGTAAGGAGAGCTTCGAGAGCGGAGAACAGTCAGGCGACGACTACGTGAACGAGAACGGCGTGATTTACGTGGACTTGATCTACGTAGTCTTGACCTTGACCTGCGTGGAGTTGATCGTTTGCTTTCGCTATCTGTCATTCGATACAGCCTATATAGCATACTCGAAGGAGTACGATAGCGACGGCTACGCTGATACGCTCGCACAAGTGATCGTGAACTATATCGCGTATAACGCTTTTTCACAGCACTACGTGACCGACTTCCACGAGTTCTTGACCGGAACCGTGAGCGTAAGCCGTGACATGGCATATCTGATTTACCCCAGTTAACCCTGTTTTAAGGGAAATTCTCGTTTAGATGACACTATCAGTTTGAAGAGATTTTTTCCACAGGAAAGTAGTAGAGGGAAAGGAATGAAATTTGGGTAAAGTCAGGGTAGGGAAAGAAGTAGTAGTACTTGGGTAAAGTTAAGATTGGAAAAGGTTGGAAACTGGAGTCAAGTAATGGAGAGAATTCGAGGAAAGAATTAGTGTAAAATGATATGAAATCACTTGATAGGATTATTTATATGTCCTTTTCATATGCAAATTAAGCTAGGCATAGTGCATAATGATCTCATTAAAATAAAAATTTTCAAATTTCAGATCATCAAAATGCTAAAAATTTCTCATCAAAAAAACTTCTTTTTCAGTGAGGATTTAAATTTGCATAATATTTCTTCCTGTTTTCTGCATTAGCAATTTTAATTATTTGAACGATTTTAGTCAAATGTAAATTTTCAGTTTATTTTATAAATTATTTTAATTTTTAATTTGCTTATTCAAATTTTGAGAAACAACTTTTCCATTTAAAATATTTAATTTCATACAATTTTAATTCTAATTTTCAAATTTTCGTCTGTTTATTTGCTCTCATCTATCAGTCTTATTTTTTTTAAATTACTTAATTTAGATTTTTTTAGAATTTCTTTTTACAATTACTTTACCCACAGATTAATACAGTTACCAATTTATTTGTTATTATGATTTATTCAAGTATTAAGTTTTTTTTTTTTTTTTTTTGTTATTGAAGATGCATAATACACAATTAAGTAAGTTTTAATTATTATTATTATATAGTAAAATTCTTTTTCCTTCCAATGAATGAAATGAAAGCATTTAATTTTGCAACTTGAAAATGATAAGAATAACAAAAAAAGCAACTTAATAATGAACTATGATACTTGAAAACATATGTTGAAATTTATAATTTTAAACATTTATTTACTTTTTCTTAAATTTTAAACATTTGCAACTTAAGCTTTGTTTAATAAACATTGCTTAAAGTAATGAATAATTAATATTATATTTACAAATGTAACAGAAATATTTTGGATAGCAAAAAAAAAATCTAAATATTAATTTCATATTCAAGTCTCAAAATCAGAAATTAAATTATGAATGCAGGAATTTAAGAAAATGGGAAAAGGAAGATGAAATGGTATTTCTTGCAATAATAAAAATTTTTATCATTACCCGAATTTCAATTACTCAAATTTGTCACTGATAATGAATTTTTAGTAGGATAAATTGGATGTTGAAAGTTTGCTAAATATATACAATCTTCAAAATAGTTAATTTTGAGTGATATAATTTTAACTTTCTGATTCAAATTAGATAAAAATGTTTTGTTTATCGGTAACTGTCAACCAAAGGTATTTCTGGTGAATCATAAAAATGACACACCTTTCAATTAAAGATGAAAAGAAATAAAAAACAAATTAAGAGAAATAAAGAGGCAGTGCAGTATAGAGAGGGCAAATGGAGAGATAGAGCGAATAAACAGAAAAATGGAAGGAATAATTGATAACAAAATCAATGGAATTCATTGGAATTAAATAATATTATAAAAATTTAAATTTTAAATGATTTAACATTTTTTATACAAAATTTTATTCTTTAAAATGTGGCAAAATTTTATATAAATTTTTTTCAAATTCAAAAGAAAAAAAAAGAAAGAAGAAAAACAAAAAAAAAAAAAAATCTTTCAAGACAAATTTACAAAGAAATGAAAAAACTGAAATCACAAAAAAAAAGATAAAAATAAGTTGTTTTGGAATGGAAATTACTAAATCAGTTTTTCTATTATTTGAATTTAAAATTTTTTTAGAAAAAATTCACTTAAAATCTATGTACCAATGCTTATATCTTCTAAATGTTAAATTTTAGCCTTAATTAATCTTATCAATTATTCTTATCAAAAATTTATTTCCTTGATACTATCATGAATTAAAAAAAATTAAAGATTAAATGGATGATAACAGTGATAACAACAAACATTTGCAACATGATAATATACATCGAAGGCTACTTTTCAAGTTATTTCTTCTTAAAATAGCACAAAAACGATGAATACCCGTATTAAATTTGAGAAATAAAAACAAAAAAAAAAAAAAAAAAAAAAGGAGAGAGAAATGTAATAAATGGAAATGAATGAAAATATAAGACATATTAGCATAATTTCATTTTTTTAAAAACAAATATTAATCAGTAATCAATAATTTCATTTAGAGAAAGCAAAGTAAACAAAAAAAATTTATGAATTTTTTTTTTCTAATCAAGACATTTGATATGGATTATCATAAGTGGCTAGGAATTCAAGAGCAGCCTGATAACAAAAGTGATATTGATCCTTATCCTGAACCATGTTTTGTCGTTCCGTTCGGAGTAATTTCACTGTTGTAAACACATCAATTACATGCTCTAACTTCATCCGGTCAATAATTACACTAAGCGCGATGAAAACTCCGGTACGTCCGGCACCGGTTGAGCAATGAACCGTAATTGGACCATCCACCCCGAATTGTGTTTTGGTTCGATGTACCTAAAAATTTTACATAAATAAAGGCTATTTTCAGTAAGTAATAAAAATTAGATTTGCTAAACAAATAAGAATGTTATTAGATGAAGAAAGAAAAAAATTTGCGTAACAAATGCGATAAATTAATTTTTGAAAAAAATTTTATACATGAAATCCGCAAAAGAAAAACAAAGAAAAGACATACTTGATGAATGAAATCGATAAATAATTCGGCAGATTTTGGTGGACAATGGTCAGGCCATTCAACGTATTGGAAATGCCTTAGTGTTTTTGTTTGACCAGACTAGAAATTTCATTTTAATTATAATATAATACTGCGGGATAATTAATTAATTAAATTAAATGAACGATTAACACTAACAAATAGCAAATAAATGAAAATGTACAGTTTTAGCATTAGAAACAATCCAAAATTAGCAAATAATTAAGTAATAAAGTAATATCTTATCGTGAATTTTACTATATTTATTTGTTTAAATGATTAAATTAAAGCATAAAGATGAAAAAGAAAGGTGAATTATATAAAATTTGAAAACTTGAAGTACTTTTACGATAACACTTTTGTCTTATCATTTTTATCATTATCATTAAAACAATATCATACCTCCGTATCAGTGATTCTAAATTCACGTAATACATACTGGGACATATTGTATTCAGCAATTGGTTCTACCACCAAATATCCAAATTGTGCACCTAACTCAGATGGCCAATACTCATAACATTTTTCCTGCAATAATCAAAAATTAAAATATCAATTCATTGTCATTATCATTACTACTATTATTGTTATGATTACCATTATTACTATTATTATTGTTATTATTATCATTATTACTATTATTATACATTTTATTGTGCGCAAATGTCTTCGCAATAAGAAAATAATTTTTTCGGACCATAATTTAAAAAAAAATTCCACAAAGAGAAAACAAAGATAACATAGTAATTGCAACAATTATTCCCAGCCAAAAACGATACAAAAAATTTTTTATATCAATTAAAAAACTTTTTGCTAATTTTCCATTTTATTTGTATGAAATTAAACATATCAATGTTTTATGAGAAAACAAAGAGGAGAAAGAGAGAGAGAGAAAGAGAGAGAGAGAGAGAAGGACCAACCCGGCATGTTTCCATCGTACGAATAAGCATTACAACAATCGAAGATTCATGTTCCCAAATCATTCGCCAGAAATCATTTACCGTATAAGGCATTGGTCCTTGTGTTGCAATATATGCGCCACGTTGTCTGAATTTATTTGTTCTATTATTGGAAAATTAAAATAGAAAATCAAAATATTATAATAATTAATAATTTATTCAAAATGCATTTAAAAATATCAAATAATCATAATAATAAATAACTGTGAGAGAATAACAAGGAAACAAAATGATTCAAATGTCATAATAATTAGTAGTTGAATAGATAAGAAGAATATACGATACTATATTTGTAAAGAGGAGAAAATTATGATTAATCATATAATTATAATTAAACAACAAACCTATACTATAACTATAACTACTAAAATATCAAATAATGATAATATTAATTGAAAAAGAAATCAAAAAAAAAAATAACTAAATAATTTAAAAAAGATTTAAATAATATAATGAATGCAATCGTAACTAATAACTGGAAATGTATTAAAAAATGAAAAAAAAAATGAAGAAAAATATGGAATAGCTAATAATTAAAATTAAATAACAAACCTATAACCATCAATCCAAGATGCATTGATATAATCAGAACCTTCCTCACCCGGAATTGTACGTAAAATAACACGTGATGAGTCATATGGTACCATATTAATTAAACGATTTTTTGGCCGATTCACAGATAAATTTGCAACAGTACATTGAGAATTTGACATTTTCATTGTTGCCAAATGCTATAAAATTAAACAAATTGTTAGAAATTTTAAGCAAATTAAAAGGAGTAAATAATAAAATTTAATTTAATAAAAAATCCATTAAAAATAGCATTCATTTATTTCAAAATTAGCAGAAAAGCAATTCAGCACAAATATTATTTTTCGATTTTTAATTCTATTTCAAACAGTAAAAAGTTTAAATTTCGGAAATACTTTAGAGATAATTATTGTAGTAATTGTATAGCAGAAATCTAGTGTATGTGTAAGAAGTAGTATGAAAAAGAAAAAAAAAATACCCTAAATTCAAGTTCCATAGCTGAAACTTGATCTAATGGTTGAATTTGCATTAAAGCTTGTACATGGGTGTATAATTTGCTAGCAGGCACTTCTGTTGAACCGGATTGTACCGCATCCAGTACTGCATCATGAATGAAAATGTACTGATCATCAGTCTGGAAACGAAAATTTTACACTATAAAATATAATTTAAGAAATAGAAAAATAATTTTTCACGTATAGCATAATTTCGCTGCAAAAATTTGATGAATTATGTCTTATTTTTATCCAGAAATTTTCTAGTATTACAGTTTTTTTTTTTTTTCAAATTTAAAATTAAATTTCACATTTACCTGAACCATATATGATCGTTGTGATCGCAATGCTGTTACACAACCATAAATATCAACTGTATTTTCATATCGTAATCGTTCTAACATACAATCAATTACAATAAATGCACCTGTTCGACCAATTCCAGCACTGTAAAAATTTGCATACAATTAATAATAATAAACAAATTTAATTACTTTTTAAGCAATATTTGAAAAATTGACTGAAACACTTTTTTTTTTCCACTTTTCTTCTTTTACCATAATGAATAGTTCAAGAAAAAAGAAATTTTTTTTTATAACAAAAAAAGAGTAAATTTTTAACCTGCAATGTGATATAATTGGACCAGCATCTGGACGATTTAAAGTTTTCACTCTTTTCAGAAACATTAAGAAAGGTGTCGGATGATCAGGAACACCATGATCCGGCCATGCAGTATACTGTAAATGACGTATTTCTCGTATTTTGCCACCATTTCGATGTTGTAAACGAAATGTTCGAATTGTATAATGTGCTAGCTCTAGAGTATCCAATAGTGTCACCTAAAAATTTATCGGAAAAAACTGTCTTTCTTTTAATTAATTTATTTTAATAACAAAAATAAAATTAAAAAAAAAAAAAGATAAAAAAGAGAGGAAGAAATCAATACTACTGAATAAAAGCATAATACATTGAATTAGATTACAAAATAGGATATATCAATATTATTTTAAAATGATTATTTATTTAAACCAATAAAATCATATCAGAAATTTTATCAACAAATATTTGAAGTTGGTCAAATTTACTCTTAAAATATTTGAATTTAAAATATTAACTCTTCCCAAAATACAATATAAAGATGATTAAAAAAATTTATTTCCGTTTTTTTTTTTTTTTTTTTTTTTACCTGAATATGACCATAATAAGATGATCCTCTAATGGGCCAATACTGATTACATTTTATTCGTGATCGTTCTTCCAATTTTGTCAACATCACAATTGTTATTGTATTTTCCTCCCAGACCATTCGCCAAAAATCCGCAAATGTTTCCGGTAACGGTCCTTGTGTTGCAATGTATGCTTTTGTCTAAAATATTTCAAATATAATTTTTAATTGAAAATAAACAAAAATTTTAATATTTTTAAGAAATAAAAAAAAATCTTTAATATTGCTTGTTTAAATTAAGCAGCAAATATTAATTAATTAATAAAGAAGAAAAAAAAGTATACCTTTTCATAACCATCAATATAATTAGCATTAATATAATCACTACCCTCAATATTATCAATAGTACTAAGGATAACACGTGAATGATCATATGCAACAACATTTGCATATCGATTTTTCATTTTGTTTATTGGTCGACTTGAATTCTCCCAGGTAAAATGTTGACCTGTTTCAATACTTTCATATTCCTATAATAATTCCGGGGATAATCTTAATGTAAAATTTTCTATGCCCTAATAATAGCAATAAATAATAATAATTATTAATTACTTCAATTAATTTATAATCTTTCATCTTTTTGGAAATGAAGCAAACAATAAATGATATTTCAGAGGAAAAAGGAGAAATAGAAGCAAAAACAGAAATATAAATTTATTCAAAAAAAGAAAAGAAAAGATATGATATGCATTAAATTTATTTGAAGTTGTTTTAAAAAATTTTGAAATTTTTATAATATTACTTAATAATGTCTATATTTTTGGCTGAATGAAATTCAAAACTAGAAAAATTTGAAATTATTGAAATTTTGTAAAAATCACAGATTCAGGAGAAAAAAATCAATGGTCAAAATAATAAATAAACAAAATATTTCAATACCTGTGAGAATAAGGCATTATTATTCATTTTTAGCTTATCAATATGCGCAGAAAGTTCAGAGATAGGAATTGCTAGATGACTAAGAGAATGACCACCAATAGCGCCACCACTTGACGGTAGAATTGACACTGGTACAGGTAGGGCATTATAATTTGCGCTACTTATATGACTTTGATGCAATGGATACATATCCATAACAGAATCCATCGTACAACCACCATTTCCATTCATCTAAGAAATCAAAAATTTAATTTAAAAAATTTCGAAATTTGAAATTTTACTTTTGCCGGTATCCTTTTATCTCAATGAATGAAAAAAAAAAAGATCAAATTAATTAAGATCAAAATTTACAGTAAAAAAATTTGGAGAAAAAAGGATTAAATTAATTTTATCCTAATAATAAATTCAAAACGGTAGATTATATCCGGTAGATTATACCTGATCATACGGATTAACTATATGACGGCCATAAACATCACCGGAAACAAGCAGTTTAGATGTTTCGCTTGGAATTGTATTGCTAGCTAAGGCAATTTTTGAAATGGAACCATGACGAGGCGTTTTATGTCGATTATTTCGACGATTACAACGAAGCCACCTGTTAAGAAAAAAAATCAGAAAAGCATTATCATTCGAATTTAATTATTAAATTACATTTTAGCATAGTTTTACTGTATATTCTTAAAAAAATTGAAAAAAGAACATTGCTTAGTAATAAGTTATCTGAAATAAGATTAGTAAATTTAATAAGATAAAAAGTATTGAAATGATATGAAAAGTTTTTCAAATTGAAATTTAATATAAAATAATATCCGAAATAAAAACTCAAATTAATTTAATATTTACAAATTTAGTGGCACTTTAATTTGATATTATAAGTAATATATGCATGCATAAGTAATAGTATGTCAACAATATTTCTTCAAATTTCTTATGATTAAAAATCTAAAAGAGGAAATCAAAGAAAAAAAGAAACGAAATCATATATTTTAGTCTGAAAAATTTTTAGAACATTTTGCTATTAGCTAATATATATAGTAAAAATTTTAAAATTTCAATTTATCAGATGTCATTTTTTTTTTAAAAAATATATTATAATTTTAAGGAGAAACTATTTTTTTTTTTCTAATCTTAAATTATTATTATAAAAAGAAAAGAAAAAAAAAAAGCAAAGAAAGAAAATACCAAATGACAAGCATTCCAACAATAATTGCAATAATTAAAATTGCGATAAGTGGCGCAATTAGCCATAAATTGGATGTTTTAGCATCTCGTCTATGTATTGCAAATTTGGTAGAGAATGGCTCACTAAGCATTGAATCTGAGTAACGTTTTGCTAATGGTTCTTGAATTGGAGCACGAAATTCAAACTGAAAATTTAAAAACTATCAATTATTAACACAAAAAGAAGAATATATAAGTAAATGTAAATTTAAAGAAAAAAAAATAAATAAATGTAAATTTTAGAAATTATAAACAAGAAAAAAAAAATTGAAAAGATATTATTATCAATTGGATAAATTATTATGTTTTAACTATAATTAATGTGAATGAAATAGAAGAGAAAAGCAAAAAAATAAATTGTCAAAAATAAAAAAAAATGGTTTTGTTAAAATATATTTAGAAAATTGCAACCTCCAAAAATTTCTATTAAATTTTTTGTTGAAGAAAAAAAAAAAAGAAATTTACTGGATAGTCAGGATTTCTCGATATATCATCACGAGCAAATGCACGCATCATTAAACGATATTTGGTATTACTATCTAAGGGCCAATTGTCATAGCCATCATACATCTTAAATAATTTTTTTAAAAGGATTAATTAATTATTTGTTGTTTTTTTTTTTAGAAAATAAAAATTGTTGTTTAAAATTAAGAAAAAAATTAAAAAAATTTTTTGCTCTTTTTCAAAGAAAATTTTTAATGCTAATTCGCAATTGATATTTATAATTGATATAGAAGAAAGGAATATTTGAATTTAAAATATAAAAATTCAGTTTCATTATTTTCTCAATAACACATTTTTGAAGAAAAAATTAAAATTAAAATTTTGTTTGCAAGAAATAAAAAGAAATTTACCTGTCCATCACCAAGCGTAAAAAGATGATCATTGCGCTGTATTTGTTGCATTTCATGTACTGGTATACCTGCCGCTATGTATGCACCTCGTAGAGCAAGAGGTTCATGCATATAGCGCCTATAATAAATTGACAATTGCGCCCATAATAAATTGACAATTGCGCCACAGTTTAAATTTTTAACTTAAAAAAGATATTAACTTATTGAATGCACCAAATGTATGCATCAAAAAAAAAGGAAATGAATAGCAATTGAAAATGTTTGAATAATTTAAATCTGTTTTGAAATCAAATTTAAAAATTAAAAGCAAAGAAAGGAAAAAGATTGGCCTAAGAGAAAGCAAATTGTATTTGTTTTATTATAATAAATAAAATTGCCCATCTTTATTTATTCTCAGTTTGAGTTACTTTTTTTTTTCTTACTTTTAAATTGCCCATCTTTATTTATTCCCAGTTTTGAGTTTACTTTTTTCTTTAACAAAATGGAAAAAAAAAAATAAAAAATCGAATAAACCTTTTGTAATCTTGATCTTTGTTCACTTTTCGAACTTTTTTGTTACCTTTCCCGTAATAATTTTTATTTTGATTTGGACGCATCATTGTGGTACTTTTTTGAAGTGATGTTGAATCCAAATTCAATACATCATCCTAAAAATTTAGAAAAAAATAAATCAGTTAAACATTTTGTATTTTAATTTTTAAAATTTAACAATTCATTTTATCAATTCATAAATGTATTTTAGTTTCATATTTTAATATTTCACACTATGTCATAATTTATTAACTCATCTGTTTTAAAAGCGACAAAAATTTAAAGCAAATGTGAAAAATAATAAAGACTATTGATGTTTGTTGAAGATAATTAAATGACTCAAAATTGAATAATCATATATCTAACTGATAATGGTGGGGAATTGATAACTAGGTGGAATGAAATTAAATATTCATATCAGTGATGGTGATAAAAATTTTCATTTAATTTGAACAGCAATCTTTTGCATTTTTTAAAACAATTTCGTCTTATTTCTTCAAACTATTAATACTGAAATTATTTCAATGATATTAAAATAAAGAAAAAAGTATTAAAATTTGTGAAATGAAATCTACGTAAGTTAAGTGAAAAAGCAAATAAATGCAATTAAAACTAAAAAAAGTACCCAATAATATACTTTCAATTTAATTGTAAATTTTTAAAGTTTCTCTTCTGTTTTGTTTCTAATTTTTAAAATTAGCAATAATTAATGCGTGAAAAACTTGTGAAAATTATCAAAAAAAAAAAACGAAAAGATGCAAAAATAAAATTAATAAGCAAAATGTAATTCTCTATTAATTGGCAAATGAACAAAAATTAAAATTAAAAATATTACATATTATTAGGTATATTGGAAGAAGAGAAGAAAAAGAAAACTTTATTGTGAGGAAGAAAAAAAGAAACAAAATTGCTTATTAAAGTAAAATTTCGAGATAAAGTAATAGGTTAATTAAACGGAAATAGAATATTGCTTGCTTGCTAGCATTAAAATTTTGAATAAAATAACAAAATAATTAAGAGAAAAAAGAGTAGAATATGGCTTACCTGGGTAAAATTCCCGGGTAAAACAACAAGCCAATAATGACTAATTGGTCCATATTCTTCGCTAGCACATTTCAAACGAATAAGCGCGGTGTTAGCATGATCTGAAGTGATAAATTCGGGCACATCAACAAACGGTGGTCCCGTGGGATCCGTTCGAACAATTACTTCGCGTGGCCAATATTCCTTTCCAGCTGGCGGTAATTCACGTACCCCAACATGAAATGTGTATTCCATATAGGGTCGTAATGTTGTCCATCTGAAAATTTCAATTAATTTTTTAAATTAAATGGAAATTTTGCAAAATTTTATTGAAAAGATTCAAATAAAATTATAAAAAAAAAGGGAAAAAAAAATGAGGAAAAATAAGTTAAATCCTATCATAATGTAAGCCAAATATTTTTTTTTTTTAATTTATTAAAATAGTTTTATAACATTCGATTAAAATTTTAGTTACTAATAACAGTTCCATCCAATTTATTCATCCGAAATAAAATGAATTTTTCTTTTTTTCATTGAAGAAAAAAAATTAATATTACATTTGTAAATAATTGAAATGAAAGGCAAATGAATTATCTTTTTGAAATAATACCATTAAATAAAGTGAAATTTATGAATTCATTTACCAAAACGAAGGACAGAACAGAATTTTTTCCTTCTTTTTTTTGCTCTTAATTTTCATTATTTTCTTCTATCCAAATTTACATTTAGAATTTCATTTGCTTATTTTTTTTTTTTTTGCAAATTTTTTGTTTTTCCGTTATAAAATTAATATTTAAAAATTATTTTAACATCATAGGCATATATATGTATATTCTTCAGATTATTTTTATGTTCACTAGTACCAATTTTCTATTGGAAAAATTTAAATTTTGTTTTATTTTCAAATTCTATGCATATTACATTTAACTTTCAACTTATTCTTATTTAATGAATTTTTACTGCTATTCAAATTAATTTAACATTTTAATTTGTAGCATTTCAGTGCTAACTTTAATTGACTTTTGAAGTTTGGGTATAATAATTGAATATCGGTATTTTTTTTTAAATAACAAAAATTTTGATTGTTATAATTAAAAAAAAAAAAAAAAATACAATAAACAAAATTTAAATATTGGAATAATACTTACAAATATTCTCGTTGATGTCCATCAAGATCTTGACGAAATCCCGGTGAAATCATCCCTTTCAATTGCAAATTTTGATCTAAGTAATCCTTTCGACCTGTTTGATTAACATAAAAACCGATAGGTTGTGGACCGGTGTATTCCCATCGAAGCATCACCGAATTACTCGTCTTCCAAGCTATCACTAAGTTAGTTACCATATGTGTTGCTTGCAAGCGATCGATTGTTGTTGGTGGATCTGAACAGGTCCCTTGTCTCTGTAAATTAAATTATTGAAATTTTTAAAAAGTTTTTTTTCTTTTTGTTTTTGTTAAAAAAACAAAAAGATTACAAATTAGCAAAAAAAAAAAAAAATTATCAAAGAAAGTGAGATATATATGTAATCATTAGATGATGTTAAACTTGAAAAGTCTTGAAAAGTTCAAGTTTGAAAACTTTTAAGAATTTCTAAAAGATAAAAGTAAAAAAAAAAAGAAAACCAAACATACTTTTATTCAACTTATTTTTCAATTTTTATTTTCGCTTTTTTTTTTTTGCAAAAAAAAAAAAAACTAATGTAATTTTTATCAGCAACTTCAGTGATAAGATATAGTTGTATTTATCTTTAAAATTTATTTTATTAAATTTTCATTTTGAAATTAAAATTTGATTTGGAATTTTTGTTATAACTAACATTTTGCCGAATAGCCAAAACACAAAATGCATATGGTTTATGTGCTGTAAGTTGTGAAATATGCAAATGTCTAGCAGACGGATTCATAATCGTAATCGTTTTCCATCGTTCATTATCTCGCTGTCCGGAAACCGGTTCATGTATATACCGTATCACAAAACCGTCCACGTTCCTATCATTATCCAAATCCCATTGCACTACAGCTGATGTATTTGAGGTTGCTTGAACTCGAACGTTAGTTGGTGGATAGATTGTAGCTAAAGTTTTATTTCAGATTTATATTCATCAAACTGCTAAATATGAAATAAATTTTAATCAAAAATTTTAATTATTAAAAAAGAATTTTTCAAAAATTTCAGATATTTAAGAAAGGAAAAAAAAGCATAAAATAACTTTTAAAATCATTTTTTTTCCCCATCATGTATAAAAAAAATTGTTGAAATTTTTCATATGAATAATTTTAATAAATTCCGATTAATCTTTAATGTTTGTCAAATTGAAAAAATTAAGAAAAAAATTGAAAAATTCAAAATATTTCAGTAAATTTATTTGTTTTCCGTTTTCTTTCACTTTTTTTTTTTAATAGAAAAAAGAATGTTTTTTTTTTTTTTTTTAAATGAAACAAATTTGAATTTATATTCTTTAGTATAAATAGTAATTAATGATTTATTTAGCAGTTAATTTACCATTTTTGTTGTTGTGATACTCTAAAAATTGTCGTATTATTGCTACGAAAATATTTTGCTGTTGGACGGCGTTTAAATTTCCTCTGTACTTCATCAGGATTATCCGGTATTTCCGGAAGAGAACGAAGAAATCCTTCTATTACTAGTACTACTACTGCTACTATTGCTATTACTATTACTTTTACTTTTATTTGAATTATCCATAGGTATACACACATATATATATACTTATATCACATAAACAAAATGCGATAGAATTAATCAGACTAATGCATCAAAATAAAAATGGAAAGTGTAAATCCGGTAGGAATTAAATTGCAAAATAGACTTTCTTCTAGCCTAAAGAGAATTCAATTTAGCAAATTGGATTTAAAAGCTGCAAATGGAAGACCAAAAGGGAAAAAATGTAATAACTTGATGAAATAGTTTGAAAGTTTTTTTTTATCAGTAAAATGTAATTATTTGAAATATTTTTTGAGTAATTTTTTTAAAACATTAACAATATATCAATCATTGACTTTTATATATTTGATAAAAAGAAATGTGAAATCTTATATTGTTATAATTGAAAATAATTTTTAAGTTTAATTATTTCATGATAACAGTAATCTTTTGAGCATGTAGAAATTTTTCTTTTTTCATTCTTTCAGATTAACAAGTTGTCAAATTGATTAAAAGTTTTTTTTTTTTTTTTTTTTTGCCAATTAAATATAATATTTCAAAATTTTTAATAAAATCGTTTTGCCGTTAATTTGTTAAAAAATGAAAAAAAAAAACATTTTAAAAAGAAGAAAATTTTTAAATGACATAGTATTAATATGAAAAGAAATTAGCCATTTGTTACGATGGCAATTGTCAAAATTATTAAAATGATTTTAGAAATAATTAATTATCTCAGTTTTTACCTCACTAATCAGCAATAAGTAAATAGTAGTAACAGTAATGATAATGATAGTAACAAGGATGACTGGTACTGATAGTAATCATGTAAGTGATAATAATAATGATAATAACGCTAATCATAACAAGCATAATTCATAGATAAAAATGATATTATCAAATTTAACTTTTGCTATTACTCATATCTGTCATACATATAATACTTACAATCCTGAGCGCTTATCTTTTAAACTGCTGCAATATCAGTGAAAATAAACATAAACAAATGAAAATATGAAGAGAGAAAAAATTTAATTTCAGCCTAAATTTTAGTTTTAAAGTTGAATTAACATTAAATGAAAAATAAGATTTGGCAAGAAAAGGGAGGAACAAAAAAAAAAAGGAGAAAATTATTAAACTATTACGTTATAATCTAAAAATCCTTCAATATATACCGGTATTTCTTTCTTTCCGTTTTTTTTTTTTGCTATATTTCCGGTCTTTGCAAGTTTAGCCAATAATTTTATCGTCTTTTCCTCTTTCTTTTTCCTTTAATCTTTTTCGATTATTCTTTTCAAAGGTAAATTCCCTTTCTCAATCTTTTTCAAGAATTTAACTATAATTTCATACTATTCTCTACTACTTTTTTCCATTTCTCTCTTTCCTACTTAATAATTATTTTTTCAAAGCTATAATTTAAGATATTAATATAAATGGTTTACCATATATTTCGCAGTGAAATATTTCAAAGTAAACAACAATATTTAGTTATTTAAATTTCATTCCGTTCGTCAATTGGTAAATTTCAATATCATTCTGTCACTTTTCATCAACCATTTCAACTTCAATTCATTTCTCAATTATATATTTCAGTTTTTTGGAGAAAAGAATTGTTAAATTGTTATTGTGAGAGTAACACATATATATGGAGAGAGGAAGGGAAAGAGAGAGAGAGAGTGAAAGGGAGAGAGAAAGAAAGGAAAGGTATTAGTTCCAAAATGAAATATGAAAACATTTTTCATCCATAATGCTTTCATTATTATCATTAAATACATTCAACTGTATAAATATATTTATATATTAAATGAATAATTTAAAAAAATATATATTCATACATTCAATTATGTTAATATATTTATATTACTTTCATAACTTCAAAAAATTCTATTTTTTCTTCCTTTTTTAAATATATCAATTTGAAATTACAATCATTGTAAATTTTAATTTCATATATTAAAAATGTATCTATGATATGTATTTCGCATCCTCATTAGAAAAAAAGTTATACCATCCATTAGGGTTAATAAAAAAAAAAAAAAAAAAAAAAAAAAAAAAAAAAAAAAACAAGGAATTTATTTCTAGAAATTCAAAAATTTAATTATACTTCAAAAAGTGTATATGCCAAATTTGATTATTTATGCTGAAATTTTTATTCTTTTAATTTGCTACGATTTACTTGCAACTATTTGCAATACAGCAATTAAGTAAATAATTTGATAAGAATTTGAATGAATAATTCTTTCAAAAATTTTTTTCTTTAAAGAAAAAAAGAAAAGTCACAAAAAAGAATGACAAATGAGAATTTTTTCTTATGTATCCAATGTAGAAATTCATCAAAAATTCATTTAATTCTTGAAAAATAGTCTCAATTTAATGTTACAAATTGTTTTTTGAATATTAGAAATATAAGTATTAAAAGAAAAAGATTAATTATTCGCTCTTCTTTCTCTTTCTTTTTCCTTAAAATTAAGAATGGTCTCTAATTTTATTCAAAATTATTATAATTATACAAATTAATAAAAGTAATTACTGATTGTGTTGTATATATCTTTAAATAGGAAAGATAAATATAATTATTGAATAAACATTAAGCAATGCATAATATAGTTATTTTTTTTCTATTTAAAATGAGAAATTATAAATTCATTAATTAATCATAAAATTGTTCTAATTAATTAATAATTAGTGGTTAATTAATTTTAGCCATGGTTTATTCCGCTTGGCTAAATACTAAACATTAATTAATATTAATCAATAATCAACAAATAGCAATATTAAATAAAATAAAAAAAAAAGCATGCTAAGTAATAAAATAAAAATGCACTTAAATATTATAGTTAAAAAAAAAAAAATTAAAATTAAAGTTTCAAAAATTTCAGCTATAAAAAATTTACCAATGCGATCAATATATTTTCACAAAGAAAAAAAGTAACGAAATATATATGAAATAAGATTTAATTACAAGTACTAATTTTAAAATTATTAATTACAAACATATGAAATATTAATTAAATTAATAAAAATGAAAAGAAGAAAAACCAAAATTGCTTACCGTTATCAGAATTACAATCAGTAGTGATCATTGTTGGTTCAGTTGTGTCCCAATAGTTACCACTATACCGTGTACAACTTGTTGTGGTATATTTAACACTAATCAATGATTTATCAGTAATTTTAGCAATTCCTACTGCATTTGTAGTTATTGGAATTGTAGTATTATTAATATTAGTATTAGTGATAATATTTTTATCAATAAAAATGGATGAATAATTAATTGTTGTACTACTAATCATAGGTGCTTGTTTATCAGTTTTAATTGTTGCTGATAAGAATGTATCATCATTTTTTCTTCTATCATTAGTTAATGGTAACATTGTATAAGTACGATAAAGTGATGGAATGTCCAGTGGACCTGGAATAATTGCATGGATGATAGCATTAAAATAATCAGCATTGGACACAGTCATGTCGTCACCTTCATCATCATTTAATTTCTCTTCCTGTGTCGAATTGTTGAAATTTTTTTGCATAAATGCTATCGATGTATCATCCGATCGGTCCAGTAATGATCCTTTATGGACTATAAAATTATCAATTCTTCCAATATATCTATTTTTGTTTTCTTTAGAAAGGAAAAAAAAAAAAAACTGCTTCCATAATTTTTTATGTTTATTTGACTAAAAAAAAAAAAAAGAAAAAAGAAAATTAAGAGTAAAAAAAGAAGTTTTTAGAAAGCCGAAAAATTTTTTTCTCATAAATTTTATATTTAGTTAATAAAAAAGTTAGTGAAAAAAGAATTTTAGTACACTTTTTTTTATTTTTATACTTTTCATTTCTTTCACCTTTTTTTTTTTTTTTTTTTGATAGATACAAAAAGTAAATGTTTGAAAAGACGTAAAAAAAAAATAAAAACAAATAAAAAAGACTGACAAAAAAAAAAAGACAGAAATTTTATGAAAGAGATACTTCATCAAGATGATTATTAATTGATTTATACATGCCTGCTGATGATGATGATGATGATTCTTTTAGTAAATGTTGCACACGTAATTTACGAACACGTTGCTGTTTCAAACGTCCAGCAGCATTCGTACGCATTCGTGTCTGTCGTCGTTTACGTTTCATACTTTTATGTAACAACCACTGTTGCATAACCATTATTTCAACTAAGCAAACCAATGTTTTTTTTTTTTCTGTTTTTTTTCAAATCTAATTTCATTTCATAAAATCTTTGCACGCCATAGAAAGAAAAGAAGAAAGAAATTTTAAGTGAAAGATGAAAAGAAAAAAGAAAAAAAAAATTTCATCCAATGAAATATTTCAAAAATTTGCTATCTTTTTTATTGAAAAGAAATTATTTTTATATATTAATAAAAAGATTTTTCTAAAATAACCAAAAAAAAAAGTGGAAAAAAATCAAACATAAAATTAAAAATTTCTATCAAAGAAGGAAAAAAGAAGCATTTTTTAAATTTCATTGGATGATAGAATTAATTCAAAATTTTAAATGATAAAAGAGAGAAAGACTCAACCATCGAGATATTACAAGAAAGTAGAAAAAAAAAAGATAAAATACACCTGTGTTTACTATACGTTTAATTAAGACTATAAATAATGAATAACTTTTTTTTTTTCTTTAAAAATAAAAAATGATATAATGTTATTCAAATTTCAACTATAAAAAAAAAATGAAAGAAAATTTAAATTATCTACTCTTCTCAATTTCTTCTCTTTTTTTCTATTTGACTTAAACTTTGTTTATTTTTTACAAAACGTAAAAAAAAAATTTTAAACCAGTTGAATGATCCAAATATATTTAAAATGATCGCTAATATTTGAAAAAAAAAAAAAAATAATAATAAAATCTTTATTTTGTCATCTACAATAATTTAAATATTAGTTTAAACGCTTATATGAAATTTAACTATGTGAAAAAAAAATGAAATGAAGTTAGTAAGTAAAGTTAAACAGTAACAGAAAAAGCTGAACGCTATAAGTGATGATTGAAAAACTTTTAGTAAATAAAGAAGAGGGCGGTATATTGCATCGGTATGAATTCATTGATGGGCAATAACTAGTATACCCGCGGGAATATCAAAGCATATCTCGAACAAATTTCTGAAAAGTTAAGGAAGGAAAAGAGATAACAAGGGAAGGAGAAGAGAGAGAGAGGGAGAGGGAGAGAGAAGGAGAAAACGAATGATGAATGCTAAAATAATGATAAAACAATATAAGATTACTGTCATTTTTGATAGCATATAAATGATACTTTATCATTTGTAAAGTTTTAAAAAGTTTAGCATCAAAGGAAAATTAATTAAAATCATACACAAAAAGATAAAATGAAAAGAGAGGAGAGGGATAAGAAGAAAAAAAAAAAATTAAAGAGGAAATGATGTAAAGGAACGAAATTGATGGTAAAAGATAGCTTTTTATTTCCACTTTTCTTTTCTTCTTTTTTTTTTAATTTAAGTTGATGCTTTAACAGGAATTGTCCCAGAAGACGAAATAAAATGGAACGAAAGAATTTTTATCAAAATTGATAAATAAATCTTCATTAATTTAGCTAAAAGAATATCATTACTATTATTATTATAACCAATAACATTATCACTATCATCATCATCATCATCATCATTAGCATTAAAGAAATAAAGAAACAAAACAAAGGATAAATAAAGGCTACATTAATTTAAATTAAAGAATGAAATGAGTCATTGTCATCGTTATTATTTATTATTTGCATAATTACTATTTTTTTTTGTATTATTGTTACTATCTCGTCACTACATGCAAAAAAAAAAAAAAAAAATGAATTAAATAAACAAATAAACATTTTCGTAGTAATGAATTTATACGAAAATGATTATTACTAATTAATATTGCCATTCAGTGTCATAATTATGGAAGAAATAATTTTAAATATATTCAAATCTTTTTTTTTTTTGATATATAAAACTAAAATGAGTTATATTAAGGTAAACACATTTTTTATATCATTGCTACTTTTTATATTATTAATATTTCTTCTATATTATTAACAGTAGAAGGAAAAGTAGAAGTAATAAAAAAATTGATAACGAATAAAAGTATCAAAAATAAATAGAATCATTCACAATGCGATAAATATTCGATATTTGAGAAAATCGAAATTCCGTTTCCTTTTTTATCATATTTTTGAGAAATACTGCAATTTAATTTTTCTTTTTATCACAAAAAAAGAGCAAAATTAAAATATCGAAGAAAATTGATAAACTAATATTAGATTTTCTTATGAATAACTTAAGCGATACTAAAATTAGCAAAAAAAAAAAAAAAAAACTTGAAATAGTAAAATATTAAGACAAATATTTACGGAAAAACTGTAGTGAATATGAATAACAACGGGAAAATTTAATGAATAATTACTTTCTAATTAATATCTGCAAAGGATTTACTCAGTATTCATTTATAATAAAAAATTTTTCTATTAATTTGAAATATAATCTTTCGTGTGTAGATATTAATGAAAAATGATGGATATTTTCCTTAAATACTAGAATTTTTCTCATGATTTTTTTTTTTTTTTTTACTTAAAAAGAAATTAAAATTAAAATAATAAGCAATAATATTTGGTATTTCTATGAATTCCAAATATTAACAATTAAATTTGATGATATGGAATTGGGTAATAAAGTACAGGGTCAAAGGTTAGTAGTACAGCAGAGTAATGAAAAAGTTAAAGATTTAATTGTTTTGAACATCTAAAAAATTTGAATGAAAAAGTTAAAAAATTTTAAATTTATAGTGGAATAAATTACTGCCAATGATTTATATAGTAATTAATATGAAAGTGCTATTATTAATAAAAAAAAAAAAAAATGTGAAACATAAATTTAAATTCTGCTTTTTGCTTCCAATTAAAAAGAAAGTTTAATTTTTATATGAAATTTAAATAGCTAGGCTAAAAAATCTACACATGAGAAATAAAAGAATAAAAAAATTTTTTAAATAAAGAAATATTTCAAGTTGTAAGAGAGAAAATTAAACAGAAAAGAAAAAAGAATAAATGAAAAGGCAAAAAAAAAATACAGCTTTATTTATAAAGTTATACGAATTTTTGTATTAACAATTAAATTCCCTTCTTTTTTTCCCTTCCTTTCTCTCCTTATTATATTATTTTCCTTTTGTCATCAAATTTAATTACTTCAGTTCTAATTGCATTTATAAATATTTTGGTTGAAAAGTGCTACAATAATTTTTAAGCTATCATTTCATATTTTTGCAGAAAAATGCAAATAAATAAAAAAGGAAAAATAATAAAATATTTTTTTTCTTTTTACCATAATTTTTGTTTGAGGTAGAATTATTGATTGATGAACTAATATAATTAATTTTATTTATAAATATAGTTTCAATTTTGGTATTCGATTATACAATAAAAAAAAAAAAAAAAGGAAAAAATTAGAACAACAACTGAACTGAAAAATACCATCCATTTACATTTCGAAAAACAAAATAAATTATTGCCTAATAAATAATTGATAAATTACTAGGAATGAAAAGCAAAAAAAAAAAGAGAGAAATTTTGAATTTTAATAAACCAAAATAATTTTTCTGCAATTATTGCTATTTTTAAAAAAATATGAAATGATTGAAATTGTTATAAATAAATTGAAAAATAAAAAAAATACAAATTCAATTCTATTTCATTAATATAGAGCTTAAAAAGTATATAAATATTAATAATTGCTATTCAATTGTTTATGCATATTAAATTAATAATTTGTATTTTTATTAGAACGATAATTTTAAATTAGTTAAATAATACTTTCAACTTGCCATGTAGCATAAACAATTGCTTGCTAATATTTGCTCACATTTCTAATCAATAATTTATATTTGTCAATTAATAATCTTATTAGTTATCAATTATAATATTGTATAAAGAATAACTTATATACATCAATAAACCCAACACTTCTTAACAGTACTATGATAATATGATGCACTTTTTTTTTTTTTTTTATCAACCTTAAAGTTAAAAAAAAAGAAAAAAACCAATGAAATTCATTTAATAATAGAATAATTATAAAATTAATATTAGAAAGAGAGAAAGAGAAAAAAAAAAATAAAAATAAAACTTAATAAAACTTACTACGATGATTTTGAGCACATATTTGTTGAAAATAACGCTTAAAATCTTTCCATGCTTTTGATGTATCATTAATATTTGTAATGGTTGTTGTCCAATTTGGTGATAATTTACTTGCTAATGCATCAACTTTTCGTGTTAGCAATTCATCACATTGTTCCGGTGTACGATATTCATCAGTAATTGAATACGTGAAAAGTGATCCCGTGATATCACGTGACTCAATCTCATCATTAACAGTAAGTAATTCTCGTTCTGTTGCTAATGAGCATATTTCAGTGTAAAAATCTTCAAAATTAATCCATGCTTCTTTAATATCGTTTGTATTTAATATATGATATTTCCAACCAGCAGCAAATTGATTTGCCAAATTTTCAAATTTATCCAACAAAGTATTTCGACAATTTTCAAAATTTAATTCATTTGAATTAAATTGTTCCCATTTAATAATGCTATTATTATCAGAATCAGTCTGGGATATTTTATATTTGTTTCCAATTTGATTCATCAATGACACTGCTATTATTGTTGTTGTTGTTGTTTCTATTGTTGTAGCAATAATAATAGTAATCGTAATAATAATAGTAATGATAATAATAATAAAAATAACAATAACAGTAAGTATCCACGTTGTTTTTTTCTTTTCTTCCAAAATAATAATATTTTTAAAGGTAAAAATTGCATAAAATTCGAAAATTTCCGAATTACTAAAGAAAAAAAAGGAAAAAAGGCAATAATAACACTAATGATAATAATAATTAATAATAATTCTAATAATAATTAATAATAATAGTAATAATACTAATAATAATAATGATTAATAATAATTAATAATAATAGTAATAATACTAGTGATAATAATGATTAATAATAATTCTAATAATAATTAATAATAATAGTAATAATAATAGACAAAAAATAAATCCCAAAAAGATAGTAAAAAATTGATGGAAGTGATAGCAGATATGATATAAATGGTATAGGAATACATATCCAATAATACATCCTTAGTTATTATTACTATTATTAGTG